CTCGCTCTCGCTCTCGCTCTCGCTCTCTCTCTCTCTCTCTCTCTCTCTCTCTCCCTCTCTCTCTCTCTCTCTCTCCTCTCTCTCTCTCTCTCTCTCTCTCTCTCTCTCTCTCTCTCTCTCTCTCTCTCTCTCTCTCTCTCTCTCTTTTTGCAAGCTAAGAGCGGAGCCTGCGCGGCGTCGCTTGGCCTTTGCGGACGCCGTGTCTGTCTCCCTCTCTCTGTCTTCCCCTCAAACTCTCGCTCACATACAGTAAGCCCCGAACAGGCGGAACCTCCACAACCGAGTCCACCTCCAAGGACTCCTCCTCCATGTCCTGTCGTTCTTTCTTGTTTGTGCATCTGCTTTTTTATTTTACTTTTCAAAACATAGAATGTATCAGCTTCTTTACATCCAAGTGTCCATCCCTCAATGCTGTCTTCACCTGCAAAGGCAATCGAATTCAAATTTAACTGGTGGCTAAGGGATGGTCGTCAGCAGCTGGTGTACTGGCCCACTGGTAACGCCGACTTGGATTGACAGCGCTGCGTTGACAACTGGTCTCATGGCTGTTTGCAAAGAACTACGTACTATATGGAACCAGGTAAATGACAAACGCGAACCATGGGGATGCCCTTGTATAAGGGCTAAGGATCACCCAAAAGAAAAAGTTGGTAATTCGGCGCAACTACGCCGCCCGCGCCGCGACAGTCAGGCGGCCAAGATGTCGCGGGAATCATTCTTGCGGTTCTGTTATCGCTTCGACTACCCTCGGTACCCGAAACAAAAACTGAAAATGGCCCGGCGGGCTTTTAACTTGGACAAGCTGACTAATCGTCGACATCCCCATAACTTGTAATCCACAGCTGCCTGTGGAAGCGACTTGTCTGCTGGCCTGCTGTTGACAGGTGCAGGTAGGGGTCGTTGGGTGGTTGGTAGGTGTCCATTATGGTGCTGTGTATTGTGAATGGTGTGTAGTTGGAGTGGAAGGTGGTCCCATGTTCGATTGTGGTGTATGGGATCGGCCGCCAGTACCCCAAGGTCACCCAGGTGACCCATAAAGCCAAATTCCCTAGACCCCCACCCTCCCGGAGCAGGAAATTCTCCAATGTCTTGTCCCTTTCCACGAGAGCACATGCTCTTCCAAGGATCGACACCCGATGTTGCACAGAAAACTGCAGCAAACGAGCAGCAGTTCCGTGAGAGTAGCTCCTTGGAATGGGGCTTCAGCTGGGTGGCTTTCTTTGGTTTTTTTCTGGTTTAGGAGCTCTACGCCCATTGGCTCTAAAGCGAAACTGTAAGAACCCTAAACCCTGGAACCCCCATAATTTTGTGCCCGGCAGCGTAGTTACTTCTGTTCACGCTCGTGAAAGATTGGCAAGGCGATGATTACGGCGTAAGCATCGCCTTGCCAATCGTTCACGAGCGTGAACAGAAGATCCGCAACCTGCGTTTGACGATCATGCAAGAAGGGCTTGGGGCAGGAGGGGCGTGTGGGTGTACTGGGAAGGTCTTGCTAAACTCCAGCCCGGAAAAGCTTGCAAGACGCCGCAAGTCCAAAATTCTGGACAATTCCGAAAATCTGCTCAAAAAAGCAACCAAACGACCGAAAGTCTGCAAAAGTCCGAAAATTTGCCCAAAAGAAAAATGGCAGAAATTCACCGGAACTGCAAAAACAACGTCGGAAACAGGCGGAAGGGCTCAGGGCTTAGGGCTCAGGGCTCAGGGTTTAGGGCTTAGGGCTCAGGGCTTAGGGCTTAGGGCTTCGGGCTTCGGGCTTCGGGCTTCGGGCTTAGGGCTTAGGGCTTAGGGCTTAGGGCTTAGGGCTTAGGGCTTAGGGCTTAGGGCTTAGGGGGGGAGGTAGGTTTTGACCCCTCGCCCCCCACCTGGGTGTACAGCGCATAGAAAAGGCCATTCCTTGGCGACTGAGATGTGGTCACTTCTTCAGAAGTGGTCCATTCTGGGGTTTAGGGTTTAGGGTTTAGGGTTTAGGGTTTAGGGTTTAGGGTTTAGGGTTTAGGGTTTAGGGTTTAGGGTTTAGGGTTTAGGGTTTAGGGTTCAGGGCTTAGGGCTTAGGGCTTAGGGTTTAGGGTTTAGGGTTTTCACCATGTAAGGTCTTTGCGTTTCTATCGGCTTCGCTTTGCCATGCGCTTCTTCACATGGGGAACAGGCATCCTAAACCCTAAAACCCTAAGACCCTGAAAGCCTAGAACCCTAAAACCCCAAAACCCCAAAACCCCAAAAGCCCAAACCCCCAAAACCCAAAACCCCAACACCCTAACACCCCAAAACCCTGAAACCCGAAAACCCCAAAACCCTAACAGCCCAAAACCCTAAAGCCCTAAAACTCTAACACCCCGAAACCTTAAAACCCTAAACAACCCAAGAAAGAACTCGCCCAGGGCGTCCTGAGTGGACCTCAAAGAGTATTGGGGGAATCGTTTGCGAGGGTTCAAGGTGTGGGTTGAGAGTTGAGGATGAGGCTTCGAGTTTCGGGTTTAGGGTTTAGGGTTTAGGGTTTAGGGTTTAGGGTTTAGGGTTTAGGGTTTAGGGTTTAGGGGTTGGGCGAGTTTGACCCTGCCACTACAGTGAGGTGAAAAGAACAACCGGCGGACCAGAACGTTGGGCAGAGCAGCCGCAGCTTTGCTATCTGTTCTCTTGCACCCTAAACCCTAAACCCTAAACCCTAAACCCTAAACCCTAAACCCTAAACCCTAAACCGTGGGACAGAAGGGATGGCTCTCCTCCTGCCTTGCAAACCCTGCCTTTGGAGTAGACACTGGAAAAAAGTATATACTTTTTAGGTATAAGTGGCTATAATAGGAACCCAGAACCAAAAAAAGTATTAAAGTACAGTACTCCAAAAACCCAGAAACTGTACAACTCGAACTTCTTGAATAGTAAGATGCTCGAATTCCGAGTTTGCAGATTTGACATTTACACTCGCAGAGAAGTTGGCCGTTGGATGTGGGACTTCGGGTTTAGGACGTGGGGAGGATTTGGGGTTTAGGGCTGAGGGCCCTCCCTCAAAGCAGCCTATGAACCCTAAACCAAACCTTAAACCCTAAACCCTAAACCCTAAACCCTAAACCCTAAACCCTAAACCTTAAACCCTAAACCCTAAACCTTAAACCCTAAACCCGAAGCCCAGGGTCGGGTTGCCCGCCGCCGCCTCCTCCTCCACCAGGGACAGTAAAGTGGAGATGACCTCAGCCACATCCTTTGCCGGCGTGATGCCACCGGCCATTCCCTACACCCTGATCCCTAAACCCTAAACCCTAAACCCTAAACCCTAAACCCTAAACCCTGATCCTTAAAAGTGAGACCCTAACAGGGTCTAGGAATCAGGGGGACTTCGGGCCCCTCAACCAAAAGGGCTTTTAGGGTTTAGGGTTTAGGGTTTGGGGTTTGGGGTTTAGGGTTTAGGGTTTAGGGTTTAGGGTTTGCTGGTGTATGGCTTGGGTACGGGTGTGTGAGGGTAGGGTTTGGGCTTCCATGTTCACGCGGAAGGTGAGTCGAACCCTAAACCCTAAACCCTAAACCCTAAACCCTAAGCCCTAAACCCTAAACCCTAAACCCTAAACCCTAAATCCTTGAGCCTTCACGGCAGCGGGGGCCTGCCTTGGCCAAAGATGTGATGGAAGGCATTAGGGCAGCCGGAACCCTAAACCCTAAATCCTAAACCCTCGACCCTCGACCCTAGACCCTAAACCCTAAACCCTAAACCCTAAACCCTAAACCCTAAACCCTAAACCCTAAACCTTATCGTGTGGGCCTCAAGCTTGAGAACCTTCAGAGTTCAGACTTTAAGGTTACGGGCCTTGGTTTTAGATAACCGGGCTTAGGGTTGAGGATTTAGGATTTAGGGTTTAGGGTTTAGGGTTACCGAAAAATCTTAAACCCGCAAAGGGCCTCGCACGCAAACGCTCGAAACCCACAAATCTGATGCCCAGAATCCCGACCCCGGAACCCAACGCCTACGTTTGAGTCGCCCCACCCTTTGGGACTAGGGTTTGGAGTGTTTAGGGTTTGGGGTGTTTAGGGCCTAGGGTTTAGGGCTTAGGGTGTTGAGGGTTTGGGGCGTAAGGCATATAAAATCCTAAAGACCCTTCGAAACCCCAGCAAATCCAAAAAATCTTGATAAAAAAAACCCGACAAATCTGAAAACCCAAACCCTACAAAACCCTGTGGAACCCTGTAAAACCCTGTGAAATCCTAAAGCCCGAAACCCTGAAACCCAAAAAACACCTGCAAAACTCCACAAAACCCCATGGAACCCATAAAACCCTATAAATCCTAAACCCTAGACCCCCTAATCCCTAACCCAAAACCCAAACCCGAAAATCCTGAACCCGAAACCCCAAACCCTAAACCCTAAACCCCTAAACCCTAAACCCCAAACCCCAAACCCTAATTAAGCCCTAAACCCTAAACCCTAAACCCCAAACCCTAAACCCTAAACCCTAAAACCTACTAAACCCTAAAACCTAAAACCCAAACCCTAAACCCTAAACCCCAAACCCTAAAACCCTAAAGCAAAAACCCTAAACCCTAAACCCCAAACCCCAAACCCTAAACCCCAAAATCCCTGCACAGCCTCGTTCCACCATCTCCAGGGAGGAGCCCAGAACCAGGTGGAAGAGCAAGCAGGTCCTGCATTAGGGTTTAGGGTTTGGGGTTTAGGGTTTGGGGTTTAGGGTTTGGGGTTTGGGGCTTAGGGTTTAGGGTTTAGGGTTTAGGTTTTGGGTTTAGGGCATAGTAGGGTGTACAGGGTGTAGGGTGTAGGGTTTCCCGCAGAAATCCGGGCTTCAGGCCAGGTTCAGGGTTTAGGGGCTTACGGTTCCCGCACTGCCTGGCTATGGCATGGTTCCACTGGCCACCCTCCACCACTGAGCGCTCAAGCTCCAAGGAACCTAATTCAACTTGACTTTGGCCGCAGCCATTCTACTGCAGCCAATCCCAAGCCGCGAAACATTTCACAAGCCTCGTGCAAAGTTGGTTGGCATCCGGTTATATCATCGCCTTTTCCAGAGTTTCTTGATTTGACCCTCCGACCCATCTGTGCAGAGGCGCCCACGCACGCATTCTGTGCGCACCTCTGAGCGGCAGACGTGTTGAAGGCAGCTGTTGGATGTTAGGTTTAGGGTTTCGGGTTTCGGGTTTCGGGTTTAGGGTTTAGGGTTTAGGGTTTAGGGTTTCGGGGCTCAAGGGGTTTACGGTCTTAAGGGGTTAAGGACTTAGGGGGTGTTGTTTCGTTCAGAGCTAGGGCTCAGAGGATTTCCTTGAAAGAACCCTAAACCCTAAACCCTAAACCCTGAACCCTAAACCCGAAACCCCAAACCCTAAACCCTGCCTTTCAACTACCCCCCCCCCCCCCCAAAAAAAAAAAAAAACTATGGAGACCCTGGACCCTAAACCCTGAACCCTAAACCTAAACCCTAAACCCTAGCCCTAAACCCTAAACCCTAAACCCCCAAGAATGGCTGGCACTTCGGGGAGATGCTTGAGGTGCTTGGGATGCAGGGACATCGCCTTCAAGGTCTCGGGTTTAGGGGTTTGGGGGTTTGGGGGTTTAGGGTTTAGGGTTAGGGTTTAGGGTTTAGGGTTTAGGGTTTCGGGTTTAGGGTTTAGGGTTTAGGGTTTAGGGTTTAGGGTTTAGGGTTTAGGGTTTAGGGTTTAGGGTTTAGGGTTTAGGGTTTAGGGTTCAGGCTTAGGGTGTGGTAACAAACCCTAAACCGTCTCCTGGCTATGGCCTCCAGCCCCACGTACGCCCGGGCCACGCCTGGCAGCTAGGCTCTCAAGGTTCAGGTCTAGGGTTACCCTAAACCTAAACCATAAACCCTAAACCGCAGGAGTTAGGTGTTAGGGTTTACGGTCTAGGGTTTAGGTTTTTCGGCTTGTGGTTGAGGTTTTGGAACTTGCGGTTGAGGGTTTAGGGGTTAAGATGTAGCCCCGAAGCCCACGTAAAGAACGCATCCCCGAACACTGAGCACGAACCACAGGGCCCTTGAACCCTCATGTGGGCCCCCGGAATGAAGGCCCAAATATCCCTACAGTTGCCCCCTGTACCTGACGTCCCTATTATGTGGGGTTTAGGGTTTAGGATATAGGGTTTCGGGTTTCGGGTTTAGGGTTTGGGGTTTAGGGTTTAGGGTTTAGTGTTTAGGGTTTAGGGTTTAGGGTTGTTTAGGGTTTTTAGGGTTTAGGGTTTAGGTTTTCGGGTTTAGGGTTTGTACCTTAAGTCCGAAACTCTTGAGAGCTGTTCCCTGCGTCTCTCCGCAGACGGTCCAGGAATGAGAGCTGCAAAGCTCCATCTAGGGCTTGCGCACGCTTTTGTCCTACCAACTGGCCTGATTGCAGAGGTGGAAGCTGGTGACTCGAAGCAGAAGAAGCTTGGTAAACACCTTCTGCGAGGAATTTGACAACACTATTGGTCTCAAGTCCGCCGGACTCGAAGGTTCGGGCTTCTTGGGAAGAAGCGTCATCTGAGATGACAACCAGTCCTGAGGGATCGCTTGAGTGCCGTTTAGTATGTTGTGCTGGTGTCGGAGAAGGGGCGTCGCTAGGTCTTGGGGTAGTTTCATGGTCCCTTAGCTCAGAAGGGGACCCTTTTGTACCCCTTATATACCCTATAAAACCCAAGCGCCCGTACATCAGAACCATTTAACGAGGGTAAGGGACCATATTCGAGGCCCATGAAGCTACCCAAGACCAAAACCCCTAAACCCATGAAACTACCCTTCGGCTGGGGCGTTCGTATCACATCCTAGTGTCACACCTTAGGGATAAGACCGGTGTGAGACTCGGCCTTCCAGCCCGCGTGCAAGTTCGTAGCCGAGAGTGATAAGCTTCTAGGGTTTAGGGTTTAGGGTTTAGGGTTCAGGGTTTAGGCTTTAGGCTTTAGGCTTTAGGGATATGCTACCAAGCCTGCGACCGCAGAACCCTTGAGCTCGAGTCAACAAAAAGGAAGCTGCGTCCCTAAAGCTTGTACGGGCACTCACGCAGCCCCGACACCCCTAGGCCCTTAAGCCCCTAAACTCTAAAATCCCAGAACTTCCAAACCCCAAGACCCAAAGCCCTAAACCACTACCTGCCCTCCAAACCTCCAAATCCCTAAACCTCTAAGCCCCTGAACCGATAAACTCTACGCGTACTCCCCAAACCCCACCTAAACGCTGTTCAAACCTTAAGCCCATGAGCCTTAAACTCCAAAGCCCTGAAACCTAAAAGCCTATCGGTGTCGCCCCGAAGTAAAAAAAAACTTGAAGCACCTGAACAGAAAAATCTTTGGGGAGACATGTCTACTTCGGGCTTAGGGCTTAGGAAGCCCAAACGCCAAACCCAAAACCCATAAACGCTTACGGACCCTACAAAACTCACATACAAAAACCCTTAAACCCTACGAAACCCTGTCAAACCCTGCAAAACCCTATAAAACACTACAAAACCCCTACAAAACTCTACAAAACCCGAGAAAGCTCGCCTTGCAAGCCCCTCGCTCCAGCGTCAGCCCCCTGCGACATGCCTGCCGAAAGGCAGGGCTTAAGGCTTCAGGCTTAGGGCTTCGGGCTTAGGGCTTTAGCCTTAGGGCTTAGAGCTTCGGGACTTGGCGCTTAAGGCTTGGCTGAGGGCTTAGGGCCTCGGGCTTGGGGCTTAGGGTTTAGGGTCCAGGGTTCAGGGTTACCCAAAACGTTTGGGGTTTGGAGTTTAGGGTTTAGGGGCGGGTTTAGGGGGTGATTTGGGGGGGCTGAGGGCTCGGGTCATTGGAGGATGTCTTCCTGGCAAGTTTTGGGTTTTGAGGGGCCCCTGAGTCTGAACACCCACGAAACTTAAGTCCCAAACACTACCCTCAAACTTCAACCCTAAACCCTAAACCCTAAACCCTAAACCCTGGCATGATGCGCCCCTTCCAGTCTGCTTCGTTGAGTGCACCACACGCTGCACTAGGCTGCTATGCACGGTTTAGGGTTTAGGGTTTAGGGTTTAGGGTTTCGGGTTTCGGGTTTAGGGTTTCATGTTTTGGGTTTAGGGTTGAGGGTTTAGGGTTTAGGGTTTAGGGTTTAGGGTTTAGGGTTTCGGTGGAGAAATCCTGTGGGCGAGTGCGCCATTCGAGGGGGAGGGCAAGCAACGCCTCCGGAACATGCCATCCCGCTGGAAGCCATGTGATCCCTCCAGGGTCGACTGTGTATCAACTGCACGACCCAAGTTGACCCGAAACCCTAAACTTTAAACCCTAAACCCTAAACC